ATAACCCCAATATATCCCCTAATAAACCCTAAACCCTAAACCCTAGAATTGGTGCAGGAGGCGCAAAGTGTAGACCTCGGCTTCGTCACTGCACTGGTGCGCCCCTGGGTTACCATACCACTTCCTGGGGCTTGGGTTTAGGGTTTTAGGCGGTTTAGGGTTTAGGGGGTTTAGGGTTTAGGCTTAAGGGTTTAGGTGCTCTGGGTTATTATACCACTTCTGGGGCTTGGGTTTGGATTCAGAGGTTAGAGTTAAAGGCTGAGGGCTTTTGGGTCCTGTTGTAGGATTGGGATTCGAAGATGTGAGATCATGTAGGGCATATAGGGATAGGTGACGCAAACTGGAAAAGGTTTGAAGAGGTCATACATTGGCTTGAGAGAGGGGAATCTTTCTTCTCTGTCTCAAAGCTGAGATCCCTGTTTGTTTGGAGGTCCTTAATATCGGATGAACCCCAACAGATATTGCTTTGAATTTGGCAGAGAGCGCTTAAAGTCATACAGGATAAAGTATGGCCCTTCTTGCAGGAGCACGGCTTGCCGCCAACCGGTGGATGGGGTTGCGGAATCGATCGCTTGGCCACGTGCCAAGTTCAGGATTGGGATCTAGCGATAATAGCAATAGTAATGATAATAACAAGCACAGCTATATCCATCATAGAGATAAACGGCAGGAAGAATCAAGATTAAAATTGAAATCATAATCGTAATTAATCACAGCAAGAATAGTAAGACTGACAGTAATAATAGTAAGAAGTGGAACGGTAGTAATAAAAGAGCATTAATCACAAGAATAAGAGTAAGAATATTAATAGTCATAGTAACAGTATAAATGGGCTCAGGTCAGGGCTTAAGCTGGTGCGGCGTGATGATTTTGAAAAACCTTGCCGGTAGAAACTCATATGGGTTGTTCATATAGGGGAATGCAGGCGGAAGGAAATGGAGACCACTACATGATCTAGGGTTTAGGGTTTAGTAATTACTCTGAATTAGGGATATATGAGCTACTCTCAACTCTCAATACTTGGACCATTAAGGGTCGACATAGAGGTTCTTGTTAGTTTAGCATAGTCCCTAATATATTCCCTAACAAGCAACCCATGTTCATTAATTACCTGGTAGGAATGACTGTAGCTCATGTGCTGTCCCGTGTCTGGTAGAGTTGGCACAGCATATCCGTGGCAAAGGTGTTCACAACAACCTCAGTCAAACTAGCGAGTGGTCGGTCCCTCATAAACACTGTAATTGAGAGGTGCTTAACAAACACCAGTCCGAACCCGCAGTTGTTGAGTACAATCAGGTGATGTTTCTTGCAGACAAGAACAACATCAAGGAGGCGAGCGTCGAAGTTTTTGCTGCTTCCGTACCCTGGCCTCCGCGACACCCACACTTCCACGCTTTCTAGATGTTTGTTAAATGCCCGTTTCCTGTTGGAAAACTCCATGGCTGTTTTTTCTCATGCATGCGCACATCACGAATACTGTCCTTCGCCGTTGTGAATACGTTCATCACCTAAGATCACCTAACGACCCTACTTCCTTGGATTGAAATTGCTTCAGGCGGTGCCGGAGTTCCTCCATCAATAGTCCATCAGCATTAAGGTCTCTTGGTGCCCAATGCCCATTGTTTGGACTTGTCGCATTCCATTGGCAGACGAAAGATACCATTCACGGGCCTACCAGAGGCATAGTCCTTGTGTTGGGACCCCAGTCATGAGGATGCCGTAATTTTTTCGGGTTTTGACATGTAATTTCTAAACCATGGCCGCTAATCCCTGAACCTTAAAACTCCAAACCCTCAACCCCAATTTTTGGCACATACCTCTCGAAGAACCCGACCGAGTTGGCAGGTCATACTGTTCCCTGCCATGAAGCCCCTGCAATCGACCCAGGCCAGCAATTGGAGTTAGGGGGCTGCGAGATCAAGGGATGTCGGACTGGGTTTCACACAGGTTGGGTTCAGGATCCCAGCACATGCTAACTCATCTGTTGATGGCACTTTGACACCTGCAAAAGCTTTCCCTTCTCAAGCACAACATTAGGGTCCCTGCATCAGGGGTTCTCATCTGGTAAAGCGTTTTGCCTTTGGTAAACACATGCAGAAAGCCAGATTGGTACACATGAGATAAAAGGGTCCTGACCAGGAGCCCAAGGAGCTTGCAGCAGCAGCGGCGGCAGCGGAGTGATCGATTCACCATCAAAAGTTGCTACCTGTGGTTTTAGGACTGCAGAATGAAGCTGAGATCCAATTTTTTGGAGATCTGCAATCTGCGGTTAGATATAAAGTAACATGGCCGCTATTGATTCCATTGGGGTAATGGAAAATGAAATGGAAGCTACTGTAGTATATTGGGGTTATAGAGAGATAATGGAAAATAAAATGGAAACTACTGTAAGTTTGTTCCATGGGTGCTTCGAGCTGGGGACCTTGAGACTAACTGAAACGATTAATGTTCAGCGCCCAGTGTTCTTAGTTCAGCGCGTTCCTAGCACGAGCATGCAACTCAGCAGCTGTATTAGGGTTTATAGAAATTGTATAGGGTTCAGGTCCGGAGTTTTGACGGACCTTTGACGGACTTTTGACAGAGTTTTTTTTGGATTTGGCTGAAAACAAGTGCTTTTTCAGCTTTTTTACAAGCCTGCCTGAAAAATTGCTCAAAACAAGGGCTTTTGGGGGCCTCTTGGAGGCCTCCTCTGGGCCTCGGGCCTCTTCTGGGCCTTTTGTGGGCTTCTGGGCCTCTTCCCAGCCTTTTCTGGGCCTCGGGGCCTCTTCTAAGCCTTT